CTACATGACACCCTAATCCCCCTTATTTCCCCCCGCACCTCCAAGGATGGTCCCCTTAATGGAACATTTAGTCTGGAAAAAAAAAAAAAAAAAAAAAAAAAAAAAAAAAAAAAAAGACTGACCTAAATTGCAATCAACACTCTTTTTATATATGTGTATACACCAGTATACATAGATGTAATATGCACACTGACAACTCATAAAGGATGATTTTTACCACAGTACCTCAACCTGATGATATTCATTTTTGATCCTCTGCACTTCAGTATTATGCTGCTGTTCCATCATTCTCATTACCTCCTTGTGCTTTGCAACCTCCGAGGACACAAGTTCTGTGAGTAATAAGTGATAATAGGAACAAATTTCTGAAAAATTTAAATTTCTCAACACAAGAGTGAAGTAAATCTAATAAAGTACATGATAATGTACTTTAATAATTCCAATTATATGAACTTTTAGCAAAAAAAAATTTACATGATATACTTACCTTCACATTCTACTCTTGCACCTTTCACTTCCGACTGCAATGAACACACCATCTCTCTAAGGTCAAGTACTTGTCTCTTTTGGTTGCTCTTTTGGAATTCCAGTTCTCCAATCTGTATATGTGTATATTCATAAAAGAAAATTCAAGGGAAGATTTACTAATAACAATGCAAATATAAATTATGCCTCAGCTATCTAGATTACCTTACAACAATGCTATTGTCAAAAGGCTGGTAAGTCATATTTCAAAAAACATTCTCTTAAATCCATATATACATTTATATATTTATCTATCATACGTATCAAATTATCATATATTTTACGTGATGCCTTCTTTCAAAAGAGTTTTATGAGATAAAGGCAGGGAGGGCCATTACCCTAAGTGGATGTCCTTCCTAATCGCAAACTGTATCAAAACCATTTCATCTGAAGACCCTCCAGACACCCAGCAATATATGTTACCAAAGGATCATAGTGGTGCATAATGGTAAAAGAGGAATTCCTCATTTCCTATAATGAAGGCCATTCACATTTGGGGGGTAACAACATCTGTTGCATCTCATGTACAAAGGTCACAGTTGTAGCTACTTTATACACCTATACTGTAGAACTTAATAAAAACTATATTATAATTTTTCTCAATATACAGTCCAAATAGTATCAAAACTATCTATCTGCTCACATATCATACTTTAACAATCATGCTTTCTATCTATACATATACTTTTAACTATTATATTATCCATCTATAATACCCTACCATATTGGAAAATATGTATATATAAAGAATATCTGCTCTGCAGAGAAAACAATATGATTTTGGCACAGAATTTTGACATAAGTAAAACAAACTTTCCAATATGGATATCTTCATATTTATCTTCCATCTTCCATCTATCTATAAGTATAATAGTAGTGTACATACCATTATCTATGCACATATCAATTCAAAAGACAAACACAGACAACATTACAACCTCTAACTATTCTAAAACAATTTGAACCTACCTGAGCTTCTAGCTTCGCAATTGTGTTCTGCATTGTCCGTTCTATTTCACTATGCTCTGTCTTCATAGCCTCCATTGTCTGAAATTAATGCAATGGTGATAATGGCTTCATGACCTTTATCACAAACCATTAAAATATAAAAACAACAATAACAATAAAGTTAAAAAAAAAAGGTAAAAAAGAAAAATTCTTCTCTATATTCATCTGCATTTAAAAACAAAATCACACTTCTGTATCCCTACAGAAATGAAGACAGATATATACTAGATTATCGAGTCAACACTGATTTTGAAATTGCGCCTTCCTCTTCAGCACCAGTGTGATTTCACTGTAAATCTCTTGGGTTAGTAAATTAATTATTATCTAATTTCATGAGTATGGAAATAAGTTGTAACAGGTACATGTACGTTTTTTTTCTCTTCTTAGTCGATTAACCAGTAATTACAAAATTGTTCATATACAATAAAACACTACCTACCTCCCGATCTCTGTTACTTTGTTTCAGAGTTAGTTCCTGGTGCCTCTGCAACTCTTCCTCAAGTGTTTTGTTCCTAGACTCTATGGTTGCCAACCTCTCCTGACAAAGCTGAAGGGCCGAGGTGACCAGTGACAGTTTCGATTCCACTGCCTCTACTTCCAACTTCTTCGAATGCAGGCTCTCCTCTAGCTGCCCCGTGTGGAACGAACTTTGCCTTTTTCATTTTAAAAGATGTATTACGAATGAGACTGATGAGAAGGAGAACAACAATAAGAATAAAAACAACAATAATGATGATGATGATGGTATAAATATTAAAAGTGATTATCATCATTATAAAAATGAAGACAGAGACAAAGAGGAAGATGATAATGATGATGATGATAAAAGAATAATGATAGTAATAATAATAACAATAACAATTAAACTCTAATAATAATGATCACATGAATCATAATCATACCCAAAATATTCCATCTGCTCCCTCCTAAAAAATACCACAATATATATAAATTTAACATCAAAGAGTTTCAGACACATTCCATACTTAATCGTTTTATTTAGCTTAAGTTCTGTCTCCGCTAAAGCTTCCTGTAGACGTTCAATTTCATGAGTGGAATGGCGTTCATGGTGCTCTAGCTGTTGCTTTAAAACTTCAGTGCAGGTCGTGTACTTCTGTGTCACAACTGCTGCTCTGCTGTTCTGGGCGATCTCTTGCTCTTAATAGGAAAAGCAAAAATATTTTATTAATTATGAATATCATATTATAAGATATATATAATAGTATATTTCTACTTCTAATCACACACACGCACATGCATGTACACACACACATGCATGTAGGAGAAGAAAGAGGGGGATAAGGGGGAAGAGGAGGAGGAGGAGAAGAGAGGAGGAGAAAGGAGGAGAGGAGGAAAAAGGAGGAGGAGGAGAAAAAGGAGGAGGGGAGAGGAGGAGGAGGAGAAGATGGGAAGGAGGAGGAGATGAGGAGCAGGAGGAGATGAGAGGGAGGAGGAGAGAGAGGGGAGGAGGGAGGAGAGTGAGAAGGAGGAGGAGAGGAGGAGGAGGAGAAAGGAGGAGTGGAGGAGGAGGGAGAGAGAGGAGAGAGGAGGAGGAGGAGAGGAGGAGGAGGTGGGGAGGAGGAGGAGAGTGGAGGAGGAGAGTGGAGAGTGGGGAGGAGGAGGAGAGTGGGGAGGAGGAGGAGAGTGGAGAGAGGAGGAGGAGAGAGGAGGAGGAGAGGAGGAGGAGAGTGGGGAGGAGGAGGAGAATGGGGAGGAGGAGGAGAGTGGGGAGGAGGAGGAGAGCGGGGAGGAGGAGGAGAGTGGGGAGGAGGAGGAGAGTGGGGAGAGGAGAGAGGGAGGAGGAGAGGAGAGGGGAGGAGGAGGAGAGTGGGGAGGAGGAGGAGAGAGGAGGAGAGGAGGAGGGAGGAGGAGGAGGAGTGGTGGAGGAGGAGGAGAGTGGGGAGGAGGAGGAGGAGGAGGAGGAGGAGAGTGGAGGAGGAGGGAGGAGGAGGAGGAGAGTGGGAGAGGAGGAGAGGAGGGAGAGGAGGAGAGGGGGGAGAGGAGGAGGAGAGTGGGGAGGAGGAGGAGAGTGAGAGGAGGAGGAGAGTGGGAGGAGGAGGAGGAGAGAGGGGAGGAGGGGAGTGGGGGAGAGGAAGGAGAGTGGGGGAGGAGGAGGGAGAGGAGAGGAGGAGATGAGGAGGAGGAGAGAGGAGGAGAGAGCGGGGAGGTGGAGAGTGGGAGGAGGAGGAGTGGTGAGGAGAGGAGATGCGGGATGAGGAGGAGGTGGGGAGGAGGAGGGAGAGGGGAGGAGGAGAGAGTGAGGAGGAGAGTCGGAGGAGGAGGAGAGATGGGGAGGAGGAGAGAGGGGAGGAGGAGAGAGGGGAGGGGAGGAGAGGGGGAGGAGGAGGAGAGGAGGAGGAGGAGAGGGGAGGAGGAGGAGAGTGGGGAGAGGAGGAGGGGAGGAGGAGGAGGAGAGTGGGGAGGAGGAGAGAGGGGAGAGGGGAGAGTGGGGAGGAGGAGGAGAGTGAGGAGGAGGAGAGTGGGAGGAGGGGAGAGTGGGGAGGAGGAGAGGAGAGTGGGAGGAGGAGAGGAGAGGAGGAGGAGAGAGGAGGAGGTGGGAGAGGAGAGCGAGGAGGAAGTGGGAGAGAGGAGAGCGGGGAGAGGAGGAGAGCGGAGGAGGAGAGAGTGGGGAGGAGGAGGAGAGTGGTGAGGAGGAGAGGAGTGGGGAGGAGGAGGAGAGTGGGGAGGAGGGAGAGGGGAGGAGGAGGAGAGTAGAGAGGAGGGAGGAGAGTCGAGGGAGGAGAATGGGGAAGAAGAGGAGGAGGAGAGCGGGAGGAGGAGGAGAGAGCGGGGAGAGGGAGAGTGGGGAGGAGGAGGAGAGTGGGAGAGGAGGAGGAGAGGGGAGGAGAGAGAGGTGGGGAGGAGGAGGAGAGGGGGAGGAGGAGGGAGAAGGTGGAGGAGGGAGAGAGGGTGGAGGGAGTAGGAGGATTGGATTTAGTTTTAATTCCATTTGTTAGAATGGATATTCTTTGCTGTGACATACTGTCTGTTTTATTTTGCCCAAATCTCCCCCTATGTGCAAGGAATGGCCGGGGTTACCGTTCACTGGCCGGGTGTGGGATTAAACGCAAGTCTGCAAGATTGCTAGACCAGCAAGTTACCGCTGCACCAGCACAGCACACACAGGAGGGAGTAGGGAGTGGGAGGAGGGGAGGAGGGGGAGGGAAGAGGAGGAAGAGGAAGAGGAAGAGGGAAGAGGAGTAGGAAGAGGAGTAGGAGAGAGGAGAGAGAAGGAGGAAGGGAGGAGGAGGAGAGGAGGAGGAGGAGGAGGAGGAGGAGGAGGAGGAGGAGAATAGGAAGAGGAGGAGGCAGAGGAGAGAGGAGGAGAGGGAGGAGAGGAGGAGAAAAACTTAGTATATGAATTGCTAACAATGTAGTACACTTACCAATGGAGGATATGATATCATTTGGAATATTGTTACCAACCAGATCAATTTTTTTCAGGTTGCGGTTATGGTGGAGGCTCTCCAGGATAGTTTTACCTCCAGCTTTTCCAAGACTGTTCCACCGAATGTCTGAATTATAAATAAAATTAGTTCAGATAAGAAAGGTATTAATGTAAATGCAGACCAATTATAGTAACAGCATTATCTTTCCGTACTATGCCACTTCTATAATTCATCATGTCTAGCTACTTTGAAATTATGCTGAACTCTTTCATACCAATAGCAGTCAGGGTATTGTTTTTTGCCAGAGCTTGGGCAATGTGAACAGCAGCATCAGTTCCTAGCTGATTGCTCCTGAGGTCCAAGTACTGGAGAGCTGAGTTGTTTCCTGCAGATTCACAGAAAGCTGCAAAGCTCTCTGTGCAAAGCCCAAGATTGTTCCATTCCAATGACAGCCTAAAATGTTTAACCAGGTTTTATCATCTTTTGTTATCTATTTCTAAAAATGGGAACTACTTTCTCTTAGGAAACTTATAAACAACAATAAAAAAATTAATATAATAACAATAACAATAATAATATAATAATAATAATAATAATAATAATGATGATAATAAATAATAATAACAATAGTAATGATAATAATAATTAATTAATAATAATAATAATAATAATAATAATAATAATATAATAAAATAATATATGAAATGATAATGATAATAATGATAACGATAATGATGATAATATAATAATAATAATAAATAATAATAATAATAATAATAATAATAATAATAATAATAATAATAATTAATAATAACATTAATACAGCAATAACAATAATTATAATAATATAATAATAATAATAATAATAATAATAATAATAATAATAATAATAATAATAATAAAATAATAATAATAGTAATAATAAAATAATAAATAATAATAATGAATAATAATAAATAAAAATAAACAAATAATAATAATAATAATAAATAATAATGAATAATAATAATAATAATAATATATAATAATAAATAATTAATAATAATAATAAATAATAATAATAAATAATAATAATAATAAACAATAAAACAACAAAATAATAATAATAATAATAATAATAATAATAATAATAACAATAATAATAACAATAAATAATAACAACAACAATAAAATAATAATAATTAATAATGAAAACAATAATTAGTGATCCTAATAATAATGTTAAATGTTAAATGTTTAAACAAATAAATTTGCTAGACATCAAAGGTCATACAGCACTATGGTAAGTATTGTGTAGAAAGGATAAAGACAGGGTTACAAATTAGGATAAATGTGTTAGATGTCAAAGATTAGAGAGCATTATGGGTTAGTATGGTAGTAAAAAGGAAAAGAGGGGTGTAAGTGAAATAAAGTAGAGATTGGTAGAACGGGGAGGGTTGAGGGGGTAGGGCAATTGAGTGAATTACAGTGTTATATATATATAGAAACATTTAACAAAACAATACTAAAGTGAATGCAACACTTTCCCAGCAGCATTGGGTTAATAATAATAATGATGATGATAATAATAATAATAATAGTAATAATAATAATAATAATAATAATAATAATAATAATAATAATAATAATAATAATGATAATAATAATAATAATAATAATAACAATAACAATAACAATAACAATAATAAAATAATAATAATAATATAATAATAATATAATAATAATAATAACAATAACAATAAAAAATAATAATAATAATAATAATAATAATAATAATAATAATAATAATAATAATAATAATAATAATAATAATAATAATAATAATAATAATAATAATAATAATAAATAATAATAATAATAATAATAATAATAATAATAATAATAATAATAATAATAATAATAATAATAATAATAATAATAATAATAATAATAATATATAATAATAATAATAATAATAATAATAATAATAATAATAATAATAATAAATAAATAATAATAATAATAAATAATAATAATAATAATAATAATAAAAAAAAAAAAAAAAAAAAAAAATAATAATAATAATAATAATAATAATAATATAATAATAACTAATAATAACAATAATAATAACAGATCTACAAATACTCCTTAATATCTCAAAATGATCTAAGTAGCAAAAAATAATTGCAGAAAAAATAAATAAGACATTGACAAAGTTTCTCCATGCAAATATAATAAGAAATGAAAAAAAAAGGAATACACAAGAAGAAAAGCAAAGAAAATCTAAATCTCAGAAGAACAAAATACAAGCAATTGTCTATCTCATTCATTAATGTAAATGTACAGCCTCAAATACCTTGTTATTGTACTATTATGGCGAAGCATTTTCGATACAGCATGTGTTCCATTGCCCTGTATACTATTACCCTTGAGAGACAAAGTCTTCACAGAGGAGTTACCGCACAGTCCAAGAAGAATGGATTTTATACCATCTTCTTCTAGTAAGCAGTCCTCAAAACTGGCCTTGAAACAAACAATATCAAAATTTATGCATTTTTAACACAAAATTTTAAGAGCTTAATAGATGCTACTTATCACTGAGATATGGGGGGCAAATACATTGACCAGTAAGTATTAAATGAAAATCAAAAGCTTTCTACACTAAGCTGAATGTGTAATGAGGAATTGTGATTTTTCTTTTTTCTTTTTTATATTTTTATGACTTTTCTTATCTCAACTACAAATTAAATAACATATACTCATTATCATCAGTATAAACTCATCATATACATGCTGCACAACCTGTGAGTGTTTTCATATACACAGCATGACAAAATAAAATGGAACATATTGTATGATGAAAAGTGGAAGACAAAACTTTTTCAGATCTCACATTCCATGAAACAATTTATAATGACTTGACTAACAAACCCCTCATTCCTTATCACATACAACTAAACACACAGAAGGGTATGCAATGACTAAAAACTTCTATTTCATAACAGATATTGGGTCATGCTTAACCTATAAAACCAGATATGCTCCATTCTAAACCTATGCGTACGAGGTACCTTTATGTGGTTTCAAGGTTGTTGAGTGAACAACAAACAAAGGATATAAAAAATCATACAATCACTTAAAATAACAGAAATCTATAACCATGTGACACATATGTAATTCACCACTTAAAATAACAGAAATCTGTAACCATGTGACACATTTGTAATTCTAACCACTGAAAAGCATTTTCACTAACCTTTCTGATACAAGTTGTTGATTGCAGTATTTTACCCAACACAGCACATGTACCAACCGCTAAGGTCTGGTTTGCTAAATCTAATGTAGGAGTCCTGAAACAAACAACATTTCTACAAAACTCTAATATTTATAGGTAATCAGGATTATTAATCAAACTTCTTTCATTAATCAAACTTATTTCAGTGATGGAATCATATTTTGGGACTAGGTATTCAGTAAGGATATCTCCTGCACTATACACCAATGAATGACAATACAATAATAAATACAGTATTAAGAAAAACCTATATATTTATTAGGTTTAAGGGGACCATCCCTGAGAATGACCACCTTTCTCAACACATTTTATCATAAAAAAAGTCATCTGGAGATAACTTATTGATCCTTTTTGCAAGATATAGAGTATAGAATTGTGCTTCATCTCATAAATGGGGTGCTCCCCCACCCCCCACTGAGTTAATTCTGCTAAGAGCATTGATCTTTTTGGTAATTTTCTATCTTACGTCCTCTGCTCCTACATCAACGATTTTGGTATTGTTGGATTCCTGGCACTGTCAACAATACAAATATATAGCTTTTATTGCGCATAAACCTCCCGTTAGCGACAAACTTGGCCCCGATAGCAGGGGAGGGCATGAAAGGTTCCAGGAAAAATGCAGGGTTAAATAACACTAATAATATAACCCACAATGAAAATAACAATGATAATTCACATTACTTTCCATTGCAGGGAACCCCCCAACCCCTGCCAAGAAAACAAAGAATCCACCACGTATTCATGGAAGGATAGTTTGCTACAAAATTATAAAGGTATTGTAACATTCCCACTGAAGCAGCATACTAACCTTGACATAGTCAGCACTGTATACTGAGAAAATTGTAGTATAATCACGATGAACTGGATATACCATGAACAGTAGGGCAGTGGTGGCCCGCTCTCGTCGGCGCTGCTGACTCGGTGAGTTTTGCACAGCTATCGAGGTTACACTGATAGCCTCGGATGATGGAGTGATATGATATTCGTACACTAGTAAGACGTATATCAGAGTCAGCCAATAGATGGCAGTTATTATCCCATATAGTTACTGAAGTGACTATGTCGCCATCTATTTCATAAGAGTGTAGCCTCAAGGTCGAGTTTCCCATCCTCTGGAACCACGAGATCCATGTTCATAACCAAAATAATACGGCATAATTTCTGTTCATCTGGAAGCAACGAGATACGCGTTCAAAACAGGTTTGGTACAGACCTGCCTGCCACGATCGTGTTCGGTACTCAGCCATAGCTGCTGCGATGGCCGAATGTAGAAACAGATTTCATGCGCAAGGTAGCAACCAGCCAGCGGACGCACCCTACCTCCTTCACCTTCAGCATCAAAGAAGCACCCTCCCTACTATGAGCGGCATCTATCAATCAGGTTACTACCTTAGAAATCCTAGGATATATATTAGATTATCGGCTCTCCATCTAGATCATGTGCACTCTATCCTGCCATGAATATGTGGTGGATGCTTTGTTTCCTTGGCTGGGGATGGGGGGGTGGCAGTCCCCCCCCAGGAGGGTCGCAGGGGGCACAGCCCCCTGCAATGGAAAGTAATGTGAATTATCCCCATTCTTTTCATTGTGGGTTACATTATTAGTGTTATTTAACCCCGCATTTTCCCTGGAACCTTTCATGCCCTTCCCTGCTATCGGGGGCAAAAATTGTAGCTAACGGGAGTTTACCGCACGATAAAAACTACATACCCGCATTATAGAGTCTGCCAGGAATCCAACGGTACCAAAATCCTAGATGCAGGAGCACCAGACTTAAGATAGAAAATTACTTTCCCCCCCCCCCCCCTTTATTTGTGGTATTACAGTTCGTGTTTGCAGATTATGGTAATTTTCTATATTACCTCCACCTCTCTGATATCGACGATTCTGGTATCGTTGGATTCCTCTCACTGTCTACATTGCAAATATATCATTTTTATTGCGCGGAAACCCCCCGTTAGCGACAAACTTGGCCCCGATAGCAGGGGAGGGCATGGAAGGTTCCAGGGAAAATGCGAGGTTGAATAACACTAATAATATATCCCACAGTGAAAATAACCATGGTTATTAATATGACTTTCCATTGTAGGGGGTTGTGCCCCCTGTGACCCCCGCCAAGGACACAAAATATCCCCCAAGTATTCACGGCAGGATAGAGCGCACACGAACTAGATGCACCGAAAAAGGCGCAAAACCTGCTGACCCAACGAGGGCGGGTCACCGCTGCTCTTCTGTTCATGGTATACCCTGTTCATCCTGATTATACTACAATCGTATCTGTATACAATGTTGACTATATCAAGGTTAGTATGCTGATTCAGTGGGAATGTTACGAGGTAAATGTAATATGTCCGCCGCTCCAATATCGCCGATAACTGTGTAACGTTCTAGCCTACCGGGAATACGTGGTGGAGGTTTTGTTTCCTCGGCGGGGGTTGGGGGCGGCAGCCCCCCTCAGGGCGGGCTGCAATGGAAAGTCATGTGAATAACCATGGAACCTTCCATGCCCTCCCCTGCTATCGGGCCAAGTTTGTCGCTAACGGGGGGTTTCCGCACAATAAAACCTACATATTTGCATTGTATTGAGTGAGGAATCCAACGATACCAAAATTGTCGATATTGGAGAGGCGGAGGTAATACAGAAAATTACCCAGATTATTTCTTGTACCAATGATTGCAACTTTATGTCCTCTACAGGAATGTCATATTCAATTTGCCCTAGCTCAGTGTGTCCATATTGCAAATATTAACCATCCAGTATTTCCCAAGCAGGTTCCACTAAAGTCATTGTGCATATGGCATGTACTTTTACTATCCCAGCATCACTGGGTTTAAATGTTGATTTTGTGGTCAGAGAACAGGAACTGTACAAGGCTGAATCATTAGTAGCCAAGTGACTTTACTAAACAAATTTAGACTTATTTTGCCAGTCCTTCCTGATGTTCAAGTCCAATTCCTTAATCATGCATATTGTATATCATTAGTTATCCATCATAGAGAGATGATAAGTAAACAAAATGAGTTATTATATCGATAAGAGGGACACAGTAAGTATGGTTTAACTGGTAATCAGAAAAAATGCTATTCCCTTAAGGGAAACACATAAGAATGTAAACTATTTCCTATGAAAAAGTTTCTTTGGACACCTCAAGGGGTGCGCGAAGGTAGATGTTAAGCGAAAGGCCAATTAAGAATCCAGTATATCTTTAACTCTCTCCTATCTCCTTCTTACTTACTGCGAAAGCGCTTGACAAACGTTGTCCTGCACTTCAATATTGTACTTTTTGCATAAAGCTTTAAATAGTTCACACGGATTTGACATTTTCCAAATAAAAAGAACATCACACTGTAACAGCTTTCATTCTGACGTTTGTTTACAAACAAAGCGGTCTTTTTAGGAAATGACGTCTGTTCGCGTATACATAAATGTGCATTCGTTCTGATTGGCACTAGGTTATTATCAAAGACAATATACACACACACATTATATATATATATATATATTATATAATATATATATATATATATATAATATATATAATATATATGTTGTGTGTGTGTGTGTGTGTGTGTGTGTGTGTGTGTGTGTGTGTGTGTGTGTGTGTGTGTGTGTGTGTGTGTGTGTGTGTGTGTGTGTGTGTGTGTGTTGTGTGTGTGTGTGTGTGTATGTATGTATGTATAGATATATTCGTATGTATGTGTGTGTGTTTGTGTTCTTATCTAGTTTCAATATAGGAGACGAGCGAAGCTCAGGTTGCCCCGCCTGCTGTATTTAAACTGTCGTATAACTTTTTAAATTGATACATAATTTTGGCACAGTACGTTTTTGGGAGACTGTTCCATGCTTCAATAGTTCTATTTTTTGTTGTCCTCTTGTCCTTCTTGTGTTCAAGATTAAAAAGTCCTAATATCTGTAGCCCATCTCCGTAACTCATAACTCTTAGAGTAGGTGCCTATCTTGTGGTCGCTATTTTAACTTTTTCCAGTTTGTCTATCTTTTTTAAGTGTGGACTCTGCACCACTGCACTGTCTTCCAGACCTGGTCTTACGATTGCTGTAATGATCTTCTTTACCATATTTTCGTCCACATACACGAATGTCCTCGTGTTGGCAATCAGGCCTAGGATTTTTGTGGACCTTTTCATTTACATGATCATCTGTGTAGATTTCTGTTTGTGATTACCCCAAGATCTTTTTCCCTCTTAGCTGTGTTTAACATTGCGTGTCCTAATTTTATTGGAATAGTGGGGGATTTCTTTTTCCGAACCTGACTGCGTGGTATTTATTGGTACTGAATTCCATTTTCCAAGTACAACTCCACGTGAATAACTTTTTGTAATTTTGAAAGCATTGGCAGGAAACCTTTTTTTGTATCTTTTGTGCTGGACATCTAAGGTCATATTGCACTATATGAAGGTACAGTAAAGGGTAGTGAAGGGTGGTTGAGTTAATAGTTAGTTGCTGTGCGTCAACTAACTACAGTAATATTGAAAAGATGGGTTACTTGTTGAGTGAATGAGTTACGGTGGGGTTAGGTAAGGAGGTTAGATCAAGTGAAGGATATGAATGTTAATGGTTAAAAGCAAAATAAATGTGCTAGATATCTAATGTCATATAGCACTATAGGAAGGTATAGTAAAGGGGGATGTCAGGTGATAGTTGCTATGCGTCAACTATCTAGAGTAATGTTGAAAGGTTGAAGTTGGGTAAGGGTTGATAAGGGAAATGGTTATGGTGGTTTAGGTAAGGGAGTTATATCAAGTGAAGGATATTAAGGTGTTTTATGATAGATAAGTATAGACGAGACAAAGGGAGTGTGGGGAAGAGATAAAATGGTAATTGGGAATTGGAATAGGAGGATGTGTGAGGAAAGTCTCTTGGAGGCAGGTAATAGATGGATTATAAGAAGCAAGGATATGACGTAGGTCTGGTCTGTGAGAACGGAAGCTGCGAATATTCCAATGTAGGACGGTTATATCTTAGTTATATTATTAGTGAAAGCGTCGGTACGTATTGGGGAATCTGGGGGGGGCTAGGGTGTAAAGAGGGTATCAGGAGTGGGGAATCTGGGGAAGGGCACTGTTGTGACATGAGTGATTCTCGTGTGTATCCGGAGGGAGTGGAAAGGATAGAGGGATGGAGGAGGGAGAATGTGCGTATAGTTGGGGTTGAAGGGGGTGGGTTGTGTTGGGAGGGAGTAGGAAGAAGTGTGGGGGGAATATTAGTGGTAGGAGGATTGATATCGGAAGAATGGATAGTTGGAGTCGAAGGGGATGTGTTGTCTTGGGAAGGGTTAGGAGGAAGGGTGTAGGGGTGCTATGAGTAAGAGGGGATGGATATCGGAGGATAGGTATCGGTGGTGACGGAATTGAGGGGGTTAGGTTGTGTTGAGAGGGAGTAGGAGGAAGGGGTGTAGGGGGAATATGAGTAGGAGGGGAATGAATATCGGCAATCACTTCAAGTGTGGAAGGAGCATGAGTCATGGGATCTTGTGTCTCAAGCATATATAAATTGTCATCCATAGTTTCTGCAGTGGCGTTGGTTGGAGAGTTTTGTGGGACAAAGGTTTTCTTATGAGGGGGGGGGGGAGGAGACTGGTGTCTCAGGAATAAAGGTAATTGTTTCTGCAGTGGAGTTGGTTGGAGAGTTTTGTGGGACAAAGGTTTTCTTATGAGGGGGGGAAGAGGAGACTGCTGTCTCAGGAATAAAGGTAAAGGTAGGTGGAGGTGATTGTGATGTAGGGGAAGAAGGGTTAGAACGTTTAGTCTGTCTACTGCGGGTAGTGCGGGGAGGGAGAGGGGATGGTGTTAGGGCTGTAGTTGAGATTGGGATGTCTGGATTTAGAGTGGCAAAAGAATTGGTCTGAGGGAGGTAGAATGTAGAAGCGGAAATGGGGACATCTTGGGATGGAGGGGGAGGGGCTGAGCGAACGAAGTTACTAGAGTATGGAGTATGAGAGAAACCTTGTCGGCGTGCTTCCTGTCTGGCTTCACGTAAAGTGAGACCATTTTTGTATCTGAGAGTTGCTACCTCAGATTCAAACTTGTAAGTGGGACAGCCTCAATAAAATACATTATGGAGTCCGCCGCAGTTAGCACATGTTCGTGTTTGTGCTGAGCAGTTTGATCGGTTATGACCAGGTTGGGCGCATATGGGGCATCGGTCTGTGGAACGGCAATGTTTGGCAGGATGTCCAAAGCGCCAACAGTTTTGACATTGACGGGGAGGGGGTTGGTATGGTCGAACAGGGAGGGATTGTCCACCAATGTAGATATATACGGGAAGGTCATGTGTACGGAAAGTAATTTTAGCAATGTTGGTCGGATTCTTTCGTTGACCTCTAGGAGGAATGGTGTAGCAATGTACTGATTTCACATCTTGGTCTTTGAGACATCCTAATAAGTCTTCTCCACAGTCTGACCAATCTTTGGTATCGACTGGGCAGTTTGCTGGGGAGAGAGAGTTCCGGTACAGGTATTAAGGGTTGGATGAGATTCTGCAGGAATGGGTTGCCAGAATGATCAGTTAAATTTGATAGTGCTATAGATTCAGTTCCTGATCTGACTGTTACAAGACGGGAGCGATCGCGTCTGGTATAGAAAGGGACTCTGCCTACTTGTTTTTGAAGGCATTGTTGAAAGAGAAGAGTGTTGCCTGAGTAAGGAGCTGTAGAAGGGATTACGAAAAATCGGTCCCATTTAGCTGGGCTAAACAGAGTATTTAAGATATCTGTAGGGTTGGTGGTGGTGGATGGTCGGGGACGTGTGGAAGAGGGAGTATTACGGAATGATGGAGAATAAGGCTGCAAGGTAGTAATAAGGGAGGGTTGGTTTGATGAAGGTTGCGGGGGTAGAGTTGATGAATTTGAGGAAGTTGGTTGGGTAGGAATGCCTTCTGGAGATTGATTCTCTGCTTAGGTAGGTAATGCACTAGTAGGCATTGAGGAGTGGGTAGTAGTTTCAGTGTTCGGAGCCGTGGTCAAAGGAGAGCCTGGGTTGGGGCTATTTGATTGCCTCTAATAAAGGGATTACATTTTCATTACTGGTCATGGGGAACCTGGATTATATAAAACGGCATAAACGGTCCACCCTCATGCTCTTGAAGGTAAGGGCTAGATTAGTCGGGAGTACCGTGCCCATAGTTCCCGCAGGCCGTTCAGGACTGGTACTAAGTCAGCCTTTCCTCCTCTCAGCACGGCTCTCACACCTTAGGAAGTAGATAGTATAAGGGGATGGAGAAGAGACGGAAACAAAATCTGGAGAGGGAAAAGACCATGCAAAATTAGCTGAGTCGAGGGCTTAGGCCCTAGGCAGGGGAGATCCCTGCATTGGGTCTCAGTCTTCGTCTCCTAAGCCCCCCCCCTCCCACCCCACCCCCACGACAACAACGCGCAAGGGATTGGGGGGGGGGGTATGAATGTGGCTGAGGAAGAATAGTTTGTCAAAGTAGAGGGGGGGGGTGTAAGAAATGTCTCTTGGAGGCAGATAATGGAAGAAGAAAAGAATATGTCGAAGGTCAAATCTGTGAGAACGGAAACAGCGAATATTCCAATGGAGAGCTATTACGAGCGATAACGGTTACAGTGCGTTTTGGAAAATTTGAAGGGGAAGGAGCTAGGGGATGAGATAAGGAAATGAAGGGGGGTTTCAGGAGGTGGAGGATGTGGGGAAAGCCATAGTTGTGCCATGGGGGATTCACGTGTGTATCCAGGTGGGAATGGAAGGGATAGAAATGGAGGGAGGGTTAATGGAGGGGTGAGATAAGGAATAAGAGGGGGAGTATAGTATCAGGGGGGGGTATTAGGAGGTGGAGGATCAGGGGAAGGACATAGTTGTGACATGGGGGATTCATGTGTGTATCAAATGGGAGAAATCCAACTCCCACACATCATTACAGAGAGACGGAGAGGGTGGGAGAAAAAGAGGGAGAGGGTGGGAGAGAGAGAGAGAGAGAGGGAGAGGGTGAGAGGGAGAGTGGGAGAGAGAGAGAGAGAGAGAGGGGTGGAGAGAGAGAGAAGAGAGGGTGGAGAGAGAGAGAGAGGAGAGGAGAGGGAGAGAGGAAGAGAGAGTGAGAGAGAGAGAGAGAGAGGGAGAGGGTGGGAGAGAGAGAGAGAGAGAGTGGAGAGAAGAGAGAGGGAGGAGAGAGGGAGAGGGTGGGAGAGAGAGAGAGAGGGTGGGAGAGAGAGAGGGAAGGGAGAGGGGGAGAGAGAGAGAACAGAG